CGCCCCAGCCCGGCCGGCTGCTGCTCCGCGCTGCCTGCGCCCGACCCCGCGCGGCCCGGGGGGAGGAGGGCGTGCGCTGCGGAGAGCGGGGGCAGGCTGTGCGCTCTGGCACCGTGCGCTCTAGCCGCCCGAGACGCACCGCCTGCCGCGGGCTCTGGGCAGTGCCCCCGCGCTCCCCAGGCACCCGCTGGCCTTTGCTGCCCCGGGGTGGGTGGTGCGGGGCTCTGGGCCGGGAAGCCAAGCGATGTTCCGCGCCCGGCTGCTTCTGGGCGCCGCAGGCAGCGGAACTCTTTGCTTTGAAAACACTTTGATTTATCGGGGTGGGGAAGTTCAGGCCCGCGGGCCGGATGCGGCCCCCAGTTTACCTGGACCAAGGCTCCAAGGCTCAGAGCTCCCTTTCAGCACTGGGGAGCCGGCACTGGTGATTCAGCCCCCTCCCCCGCCGCCCCACCATGGGGCTGGAACACACATCTACTAGCGTGGGCCCCCCAGGCTCTGGTGTGGAGGGGAATGTGGGGAGGGTCTTTCTCCTTCTCAGTCAGGGGCCACGTCAGTGCGAGTTCAGGTGCTGCCCCCCCCACTGATTTTTCTGTAGGTCAGTGCCCCCTCCGACCCCCAAAAGGTTCCCCACCCCTGTGAAGCACAGATGCTAGCCAAGGGGTGTTGCTCCCAGGGGAGCCAGCACCCTCCATGGGCCCCTGGGCAAGGGGAGGGGTCCCATGTCCGCACTCTTGGAAGGGGCAGGGACTAAGGTGGAAGGAGTGAGGCAGGGACAGCCAGCCCCCCCTCAGCATGGTGCACCATGGTCCCAGCCCCTAGAGCTGCCCAGAGTGTGCAGTGCAGAGCTCCAGCCATGATTTGGGCCCGGGGCTCTGGCGGCTGCTGTTGCCGCAGTAACAGCAGCCGCATCCGGGACCCCAAAGCCCCTTTGAGTCACCAGGCCCCAAGGTGATTACCCCCTTTGCTCCCCTCCCCCGGCGGGCCTGGCTGCTGCACTCTCTGGCTCGAAGTGGCTTCCCTCACACACAGGGTGTGCAGTTTGGTTCAGTGGCTCTCAGCATCCCCCGAGACACGCTCATAGACTCATAGACTTTAAGGTCAGAAGGGACCATTCTGATCATCTAGTCTGACCCCCTGCACAGTGCAGGCCACAGAATCTCACCCACTCGTCCAGCACCTCTTCTGAAGGGCCCGGAGCTCCTTACTCCGCTGCCTTTGGCAAGGCCTTGAGGCACGGGGGGTCCGAAGGAGAGGGCAGCTAGGCATGTGGTTTCCCCTCAGGGCCCGGGGCAGGTCATTGCCAGGGTTAATAGCCTGCTAACCTTGCGGTTGTTGCCCCTTTGGGCCCAAGTGGTGAGCAGGTACTGGGGGTCTGGCCGATGGTTTCCATGGGAAGGGGAACTTGGGGACGGAGTCGGGTATCCCTTCACGGCACAGAAAGCGCAAAGTCCTGTTTCCCTGAACACCGCAGGCATCACCCCCGAGGCAGCGGTTCCCTGTGGCGCGCCCCTTTTCCCAGCCAGCATGCTCGCCCGGAAAGCAGCCTCTTGGCTTCCTTGTCAGCTCCCGTGACAAGCGCTTCTCGGGCGGGGGTTGGTTTTCTGCTGCCGTCTCTGCTCACTTCTGTCATGTGTCTTAGCGGCTGCCCTGCCTCTTTTTCAGACAGAGACACGCGCACACACACGCAGCTCCGCCACATGTCCCTCAGCCCCCTGGATTTGCTTTCAGCCCGCACTGACGCACACAGCTCAGCTCCTGTCCTTGTGTGGGGCCTGTGTTTTGGAAGGGGGAGGCGCCTATTCTTTCAGCTGTCTACTTCCAAAAGATGCTCAATTGCTTCTTACGTGTATAGTGAAGGGCTGCCAGTAATGCCCACCTATTTCACCAAGGGTTCCCCAGCCCCTGAAATAGCAATAAGTACACAGCTGTGTTGAAGATAAGGTACAATTTCCTGCAAGGTTAGATAAGTGTAACCCACATACCGAGTGTGGTTCACTGTCCCATGTTGTGGCACTCAGACCACTTAGAGCTCTACAGCCTAAGCTGAGAGCTAGCTGGCTGTATAACTCAAGGGCTATGTCTAGACAGGCATAATTTTCCGGAAATGTTTTTAACGGAAAAGTTTTCCGTAAAAATCATTTCGGAAAAGAGCGTCTAGATTGGCAGGGCGCTTTTCCGCAAAAGCACTTTTTGCGGAAAAGCGTCCATGCCAATCTGGACGCGCTTTTCCGCAAAAAAGCCCCGATCGCCATTTTTGTGATCGGGGCTTTTTAGCCGAAAACAAAGCTGAGCTGTCTACACTGGCCCTTTTGTGCAAAAGTTTTGCGCAAAAGGACTTTTGCCCGAACGGGAGCAGCATAGTATTTCCGCAAGAAGCACTGATTTCTTACAGTAGGAAGTCAGTGCTTTTGCAGAAATTCAAGCGGCCAGTGTAGACAGCTGGCAAGTTTTTCTGGAAAAGCGGCTGATTTTCCGGAAAAACTTGCCAGTCTAGACACAGCCAAGCAGTAGAGGCTCCTACACTAAACTCTGAAAGATCCAGGTTCAAATCTACCTGGCACTTACATAAGCACCCTCAGTCCTATGAGAGTGCCTGAGGGCAATTTGTTACCGAGTTGTAGCCTAGGATGAAAGAAACAGGCTCTTGCCCTCAAACCCATCAGCTTATGCATCTGGTTTACCTCACATCTAGGCCTTCTGTAGGGAGGAGTGGAGCCTACTCTGCAGTTAACCTCTGTTAGCAGAGATGGGCCTGATGAAAGATCAAACTGGGGGGCTGTTTGGAAACCTGACCCACTTCCGGATCCTGGAGGCCTGTGAGCGAGAGACCCACTTACGGAGGGAAGCCGCGCTGCAGCACTGAGCTTTGAATACGGGTCTCAAGAAGTGGGCTTGTCTCCCTCACGCACAAGCTTTCCCTTCCCCCCCAGCCGTTTCATTGTTGCAGCAGAACGTAACGGGCAAGGCAGGTCTATCTACCAAGGCACCTCACCAGAGCCCAGGGTCTCTAGCTCCCAGCCCATGGACCATGCCCACTCTCAAGAATTGCACAGTCTGGCCTGGGACTCCAGTGGGCTTGGCTCCATGGGGCAGGGAGAGGTTGCTGAAGGGGTGGGGCCTTGGGCAGAAGGGGGCAGGGCTGTGGCTTGCCTTCCCCAGCCGGGCTGTCGCCCAAGACGCCCAGTGGGCCAGGGGAGGCCTGTGCGCTATTGGCCCCCAAGCCCTGCCCGTTCCCCGGCTCCTGCAGCCATGGGGCATGCGGGGGGGAGGAGGGAGCACAACTGCTGCTGAAAGACCAGGCCCCCTCCCTGCGGTGATCCCCAGAGCTGCATCTTCAGAGAGAGGGCGGGGTGATGGCAGGAAGGGAGGAGCTTGGGGGTGGTAATGGACAGGTCTTCCCTGGCCCTCTGGGAATTACGAGCAGCAGATGAAGACACAGCTGGAGAAGGCAAGCCCCAACCCCGCCTCTTCTGCCCAAGGCCCCTCCCCTTCAGAAACCTCCCCCTCTTGTGGAGCCAAGCCCTGCCACTTCTTTCTTGAAATGCGGTGCCCAGAACTGGACACAATGCTCCAATTGAGGCCTAACCAGCGCAGAGAAGAGCAGAAGAACGACTTCTCGGGTCTTGCCCACAGCATAGCTAGCAAGATCTTCCTAGAAAGGTTTCAGGTTTCATTCTCAGAAAACTTGAGTCACAAAAAGCATTCTGCCTACCAGTTCCTTCTACTGGCATGAAGCCGGGTGCTTTCAGGAGTCTCTCTGGTGCCTTTCCCCAACAGGCAACATACGTTGTCTGTATCCACGGTGTTAGAGAACTTGAGTCCAAAGCTCTCAGGCCAGCCAGAACTTTAGACCGCGTAGTCAGGAGTCATGTATAGTTTGTGCTTCTATTTACGCTGTTCATGAAATAGGCAGTCACTACAGCTCCCACGCTTATTGAAGTCCAAAGGAATTTTGCCACTGAGTTCAAAGGGAGAAGGCTGGCTTGGGGACATGATGTTGCAAGTGTATCTCCGAACTGACCTCTAAAGCAATTTCATCCTCCAGTTTGTTTCACGTGACATTTTTGCAACCTTCAATTCTGCCATTTCTAGCCCACCTACCACACTTTCCACAGATTAAAATCTGCGCATTTACAGACAGGGATACTTTGAGGGTCTATAAATATGACTTAAAAAAAAGAGGAGCCCTGTGGCACCTTAAAGATGATTTATTTGGGCATAACCACTGTGTTAAATGTGTCTCTGCACATCTGGCAAAGTGGTTGTTACCCACAGAAGCTGATGCCCAAATAAATGTGTTAGTTTTTGAGGTGCCACAGGACTCTTTGTTTTTACAGATACAGACTAACCCTGCGACCCCTCTGAGACTTGCCACCTTTTTTCAGAATTATCCTTGTAGCCTGAGCCCGTTAGTGTGATCATCTAGTCAGATCTTAGTAGCTAAAGAGGCTATTCTTGGTCAGAGCTTGGATGGGGAACATCTGTGATAAACGCCTGCAATTGTCTTAGTGAACGACATGTTACCTGCCTGTCTGCAGTATTTTCTATAGGGAACTGTAGAGAATGTCAAGCAACTCTGACTTTTTTTCTCAAACAAATCTGACAATAGACTTAATGGCAACCACTGTGTATGTCCTAAGGGTACTTTTCTAGAAAAACGTATTTTTCATTTCCGTGTGCACATTTGCCTTGGTTAAGGTTCATTATATGACAGAACTAATATTGAGGCTGATTTAAATTAGGGTGGTAATTAAAATACCAATATATGCATGGAGCGCATGCTTATAACATTTGTGGATGACGCCAAGTTGGGAGGGGTTGAAAGCACTTGGGAGAACAGGAGTAGAATTCAAAATGCCTTG